AGGCCGGGCGAAAGAGGTGGGAGGGTCACCTGGCTGGACTCAACCATGTACACTGTACCAAGTCAGAAACAACCAATCGGATGAGCGCTTGAAGGGGGTGTGCGTTGATTGTATGGACAGAGTTAGATGAACAAACTGCACTGTAGGGAAGAACATGCCGCTGATGAATGCGACGACGCACCCCAACTCTGCAGGAATACGGTCGCTTTTGTTTCCCCACGAGTCACCCACTGACTCCCACCTCTTGATCTGAGGTGAGCTAATAATATGGGATCTCAGTTGCGAATGCAGGCACTGCCCATCTGGATTAATATGGAAGGTCTCGCGTCCAGGTAGTCAAGAACTCGCAAGCAGCGGGGGGTTACAATGTGTGACGATCACCCAGACGAATGATAGATAATGGAATGTATCGGTCGCGCGGGCGAGGGGGTTCCTTATCAGTGCCGGCAGCACATGTGCTGGGGTCTAGCTTCCAATTGGGGGCTGGCGAAGGATAAAGAGAGGGGAGAATGGAGAGAAACAATGCGACGTATGGAGAAAGTGTCCTGCATTGACAACCGCAACTACAGGCACGGGGTGTCGCCGTTGGCCAGGAATACGGATGAATCAAAAGTCCCACCAACTCGAAAACGGCCTTTGGGATCTTTGGATGGAATGCAAAGGAAGATTCGATTTGAAACATACACTCTTCCGTGGAAGAATCGCCGAAATCCTTTCCCCCTTCCGTCATTGATACTGAGGAGAGTGAGCACTGCCCAGGCCAGGCCTCAGATGGGTGTCAGTGGTGGTTGGAAGGATTGATGCGAGACGGAGAGAGACTTGGAAGGTACCTTGCTGGCTACCTTACGGAGCGCGGAATGACCGGTCTGCAAGACGTTCCCAGGAAACTGGGCGGACTCGCCCTGAATGCAACCTGGGCCTCCATTTCGCACCGTGCACTTACACAACCCAGGCCACTGCCAGGGCAAAGACCAAAATCAGGAACTCCACAGATACTTGCCAATTTGAGCCGTGATATCGGCGCAAATGGATGATTGATTGACCTTATCAGCCAAACCCTAATGAATGTTGTGGGCAAACTACACAAATCACGGGGTATCGTTTGTGGAGGCCATTTTTCTTTCACGTCAAAAAAAGCAACGTTTTGCAGACTAACAGACGGTGAGACTCAGCAACACTCAACAGCAACGACCTTGAAAGCCATCCAAACAAAGGGGCTTCTAGATTAAAGCGAAAATGGCAAATGGCAAAATTGAGCAAGGGCTTTGTAACCAGTCAACCAGGCTTGCCAAGAGGCACGGTGCAAATGACATGATGGCGCTGGGCTGGTCTTGTGTTCACACCCCATGCCACAAAGAACAAAAGAGAGACGGCCAGGGCTTGCGCTTGCCCTGCTTTGGAGATTCTGCAGCAGGATCCAACCCTGTTGGGGTGTACCTTTCCGCGGTGAGTCGTAGTCGTACTCGCCCATCAGTCAGCGCTGTGGGAGAGTGACTGGAGGTACAGAAGTACCTCTCTGCCTGCGCTCGGTACCTACCAAGGTGGCAGGCCAGACAAAAGAGGCACACACACGTACGCCTACGGTATCGGTTTATTATTATTAGCATGGCCTCCCACCTGGGATTCCCTCTTCCTTTTTCTTGATTTCCAACAAGCAACAAACAACGCGACTTTTTTAATAACCCTTTGACTTTACCTTTCGAGAGAGTCAAATCTCTTGTCACAGAAGATCATCGCCGTAGCAGCAGCATCACCATTTCTGCCGACAACTCTGTTGTAGCTTTTATTCTTTTATAAAAGCTGCGCATTTGCTTCTGGACCTTGGTGAGTTGTGACTCAGTCTCCAGTTTGATACCTCTTTCTGCCTTCCCACCTACCCCCGTCACTCGGCCTCCCCGGCCCCACGACTCCGATCCCAATAAGACACACACCGAGATGGCTCTCGCGAGCAGCAGCACTCCTTCCCACAATATTTCCCTAAAAAAGCGACATAGCCCGTCATCTTCATCAGCATCATACTCTATCCGTCGCACCGTGCGTGGCTCGATCAGGAATGCTAATACACGGCTGCGCCGCATTACAGAAACGTCCCGAAGCAACCTCCCACCAACAAGCGTCAATATGGCAACCATGGCATCTGCTGCTCGCGATATCGCGACGACCCCCTTTGGCCGAGACAACTTAACTGCTGTAGCGGCCCGGAGTGTCCCTGTGACAAACCACCCAACCGACCTGCCCACCCCTCCAAACTCGATATCGCCGAACCTCCCTCCGCACGGCCTCAAGGCCCAGCTGCAGAGGGCGCGCCTCGAATCGGTTGACTCTGATATCGATCTGCATGATGCTCACGACGAGGAGGAGCATCTGTCGGGACCTGGATCGCCTTCTTTCGACTCGACCGGCGCCATCACTTCGGCGATGCTGGCCAAGTGCCATCTGGCTGACATACTGTTGAACCATGGCCCTTTGCCAATTCGCCATATCATGGGCTATCTGACGACCACGGTTCCGGGATTCGCTGGCATCCCTCCGACGAAAGCACGGAGGCTAGTCGTCGGCGCCCTGGAAGGGAAGGGGAGCGGGGGTGAAGGTGGTGGGCAGGATGGTGACGTGGAATTCATCAAGGTGGGCTGGGGCAGGTGGCATGCGAAGCGGATGAACAAGGGCAGGGCTTCGGCTCGAAATGTCCCGTCTCGTCGCTCCTCCCCCGGCGGAACCCCTTATCCAGTAAACAGCATTCCCATCCTCAAGGGTGCCGGGTGGAACCCGGAACGGTCTAGACTCGCCGCCATGCTGGGCACGAGCGTGGGTGGCGCCTCCTCGGCAGCCTTTTCCTACGACGACCGGCACCACGACGACCAGCACATGGACATGATGGATCATGAGGCTGACAAGATGTCGCTCGACGGATCCGGATCTGCATCGTGCTCTGAGGCACCCGATGATGATGATTTTGGTCTCAAGAATGACGACCCCGAGGACGCAACCGACGATGAGGACTGGGCAGCCGTCGGTGCGGCGGCGCTACGAGCGTCATCCTATCAGGCCCAGTCCAACAACCATCTTTCTTCTTTCAACAATGTATACACCAACGTCGGATTCCGCTCCTACTCGAACAGTGGGATGCTGCGCGCCCCGCAGCTCCCTTCTGGGTTTGCAGCATCAGCGTTGAGGACCATGGCTTCTGACGCACAGGAGCGCGAAGCCGTGGAGGCCCTCCTTCAGCTTGGATCCGTGTAAAAAAACAAAAAAAGCATTATCTGCATGGCTCGGCGTTTTCAACAAGATGGCGGGGCAGCATTCATCAAGATCTGATTAGTATCGCTTCGCCAAGGCTGGTGAGGCTCAATTGGGTTAAGGGGTGAACTTGGGTTTTGGCGGTGGGGGAGGTTGGATTATTCATTTTTTTCCGTTTGGGCCCGACTGCATCAATCAACATTTTTGGTAACGGGGGAGTGGATTTTGGGTGATAAAGATTTTGGGGCGGCGCCTCTTGATCATCATCATCAACCAACGGCAGGCTGGGCAGGGGCATATGCATCTTCGATTCGAACAACACATACATACTCGACACGCGAGCGCTGTCCTTTTTCGTCAACGATGCGACCGTTCGGAAGTCTCTCCTGCTTCTGACCGGCGCACACATTTTGATGGCTTTTTTATTTAATTTATTTTCGTCTTATCTCAACTCATCACATCACCAACACACCGCTCTTCTCGACCCGTTGACCCCTTGCGGGCATCTTTTGGATCGTCGATTTAGCTCATCCCGGATCGGCCGACAACGGATAAGTCTGGGTCCACCGCCCCGGCACGACCCGCTGGGTTGGGTGGTCCGGTTATCCACAACCGACGCACCGGTACCGGGACGGGAACTTTATGAGTGGTCTCAAAAAACACACATTTTATACTACATTTTTTGGGGTGAAAGTGAGGGGACACGAAACACACCCCCTCCTCTATATATATTGTTTTAAAGATGTTGTAATGATGGGATATGGGGTTACGATTTTTAAAGACAAACATTTTATGGCCTTGAGCCCTTGGAACTTTATTTTCCTTGCGCGCTCGGTCGACTTTCTCTGAAAATGGAAATTCATCACGAACATACAAACAAGTAATCTTCTCTTGCACATACTTGATATTCATACCCCTCTCCTTTTTCCCTTTTTTCTTCTTTTCTTTCAGCTTCTATCGATCGAGGTTTTTTTTAGTGTCAGGCACCGGCGGGAATTTGTTGGACGGAACAGAACAACACACAACACAGGTGCGGAACCGGACCCGGACCGGGGGTGTGAGTGGTCAATGGTTGGCAGTACCATCGGCTAGTGAAGGGGAAAGACCACAGAACTCCACTCAGGCATTTGTGGCATTTTTTTCTAAATGGACGGACAATGAATTGTCCATATTGGGTTTGATACGTTTTTCTTGTACTCCTTTGTTGTTGCCATCAACGGTTATCAATGGTTGTTTGGGCATCTTTGGATTATCGAGGTGGAGGATGAAGTGAGGTGCATTTGGGGAGTGAAGATATCATAAAAGCACGGTAGCAAGCGGGGAAGGAGGTATGTCGTAGACTCGTAGGTGAAGGAGAGTCAAACTTCGGGAGATGGAGATACAAGGGGGGACGTGGCATGGTACATTCATGTCTAATACCTTAACTGGAGTCCGTCCTCTGATGAGAACGCACAAAAGAGCAAAAAATGAGAAATCGAAATTAGTAGGCCTTTTTTTTTTTGGCCTGGATCTGAGTACATATCCTGTTGCACGTCCGGCGACGGCGGGATATGATACTCTCTGTAAACAAGGCAGTTCGAAGGAGAACTGTCTGCATGAAAAGCATCACGTCATGTTTTACCCCGGATCAAACCAAAAAGCCTAGGATGGTCCTTGGTTCCAGGTACTCTCCTGCCATCTTCGGCTAAATATGATAGGGTATGCGGTTGTGAATATTTTATCAGAGAGAAGAAGCAGGCATATGCAAAAGAAAAAGAATTGGATGCGGTTTGTGTGGATCGAACACACGACCTTCAGATTATCTCTTGATTAAGATATTTGGAAATGAAGTTGCAACTTCAGTCTGACGCTCTCCCAACTGAGCTAAACCCGCTGCTTCTTGGTTTGTTATTGTTGTTGTTGAGATGTTTTGGAGAATTTGAGATTTTGTCAACCGCACCACACCACACCACCATACGAACGGTCCAGAGCAGAAAGGTAGTTGGATGGTGGCTGTTACGGTGACGAAAGGGAATAGGAATGGATGGATGCAATACTTTTGGGAGTGTGCGAGTACCTAGGTGATTTAAACGGGTTGGGAATGGTCATATAAACTGAGAGCTTAGGTGGGTGCGTGGGTACTGTAGGAGGCTTTGTTATGTTTTCGTACGTCTGGGCTTTGATGGTGCAGTCAGTATGGGAGGAGGAGGAGGCTCAGGAGGGGAGGGGGTTCTGGAAGTGGTGAATGAATGAAGGGAAGTCAGTACGATCATTTTTAAGACATTGAGGGGATTTAATGACGTTTAAAATGGAAGTATATGGTGTAATTGGATGTGGTGTGCAAATTGGTTGTTGTGTGCTAGGAAGGAGTCAGTTGAGTGTGTTTGGCACAGGTTGAGTTGAAGCAGACTGTCAGTATCTTTCTTGTTGGCAACTTTATACCCAGCAACTGTTTTCCTTAGAAATGAAAAAATTATTAAAAAAAATTATTAAAATACATCAACGGTTCTTAGCATTCCATTGTTATGTACACAATGGTTCAAGGAACTAATCAGTTGCATGTTGCTTTCAGTATACCTTTGAGGTTGCAGTCTGGGAATAGGGGTTCCGTGACTTTGGCGGCAGGGACCGCAGGCAAAGTTGCACCTCATCTGGCAGGTTTATTGTTTTTGATCTTTTTTTTTAATATTATACCATTACGACCGCCTTCCTCTAAAAATGCATGCAGCCTTTGTCCACCTCGTACAAAGTTCTCATACATAACAATATCATTGTGCAGCTCTTAAACCCCGCGGGCACATCCCAGATCTCCCCTTTATAGCAAACCAAACATTTTTTATTATTATAATGAACTTGTTTACGCCTTCTTCTTGGCCGCAGCGAGCTTGGCCTTGACAGCCTTCTTTCTGTTGCTGCGAATCATGACGACCGAGAGGAAAGAACCGACAACGGCCGAGCCGAGGAGGACGAGGATAACGGGAATGCGGATGGCCCAGACGCGAGGAGGGAAGAAATTCTGGAGAGGGTGGTCCGAGTCGACAAAGGGCTGTGCAAGAGAAGAATATGTTAGATTTGGATCGGATGAGAATAAGGCAGGAAATTGGGCGAGATTTACCATCAACAGAGTCCAGATGGTGTAGTAGAGAAAGACGACGGAGGCGGCCACGAGCATGGCGAGGCCTGTAAGTTTGTCGAGCTGCAGAGAAAGAAAGGGATTAGTTTGGTTAACAAAATTGTAATGTCTGTATTGAGTACACATACCATCGTAGAATTATTAATTGAAACCGGATAAAGGAGCGAATGGAGTTGGATTGTTCAACGTTGGAATTGTTGGCGTTGAAAGGTTGTCGTGCTGTCTGTCGCAAGTTGGCCTGAACTTGCGAAGCTGTCCCCAGTTGGAATTGAGGCCCAGGGAAGCCAGTTGTTGCGCCACGGTGCCCAGAAAAAAGGTGTCAGGGGTTCGCGTTTCGCGCTGCGTTCTGGCTTGCTGTCGCCTGCAAAGACACGCTCTTCAGCCTCTCAACGACACCCCGGCAGGCAGTAAAGTGGGGCGATTTTTTGTGACACCAGCCTCGCTTGCCTTCAACTTTGAAATCTTCCCCAGTTTAGAATACGTAGATGATTGCCTTCTGAGTTTTGAGGACGGTTTATGGTCACAGCTGCTCTGCTTTTTCTGCATCAGCATTTTGCCCTTCATTCACAAGATATCAGCCTGGATTCTATCACTCCCTAAACCTGATCATTTCGATCTCAATTGACGATAGGAAGGATGGCTACATCACAGGCACAGTCGCCGTCGCGGGAAAGCATCGAGGCAGAAGACGCATCCCCGAGTGACGACCGATCGCAGTCGCCCATTTCCAAGCGTGAGCGCGCATCATCTCGAGACCCCCCCGATGGCTCCCCATCACCTCGCCGTAGTAGATCGTCCTCCAGGGGCTCGCGCGACCGTTCACACCACAGCAACCGATCTCCATCGAGAGAGGAGGGCGACATTTCACCCCGCCGCGACCGATCCCCTTCGAGAGATTCACGCGAGATGTCACCTCCTCATCACGCCAGATCCCCCTCTAGAAACTCACGTAGCCCATCGCCCCGTTCCCGCGATCAATCACCCAGAGCTTCCCGCGACGGCTCTCCACGTCGCACCCGGTCGCTCTCCAGAGACATGCGTGATATCTCACCACCTCGTCGAAATCGATCCTTCTCCAGAGATTCACGAGATGCTTCGCCACCTCGCCGAGACAGATCACCAAATGGACGTCAACCTCGAGAGCATTCGCCCCTTCCCCGACGCCCCGCGCCTGCTCAGCGCCGCGATGGGCCTGATAGATATCGCCCAGCACCCAGGGAACGCACTCCACCTCCTGCACCACCGGTCAAAACAGAGGAGGAGAAGCTGGCAGACGCAAGAGCAGAGTACCAGAAGCTCTTGAATCTGCGCAGTCAGGGTGTCTACCTTCCTCCCCAAAAGCTGCGCGCCCTTCAGGCAGCCATCACCGACCGGAGCAGCAAGGAGTATCAGCGCATGGCATGGGAGGCACTGAAGAAGTCTATCAACGGTCTCGTCAACAAGGTCAACACGGCCAACATCAAGTTTGTGGTGCCTGAGCTCTTTGGGGAGAATTTGATTCGGGGTCGGGGTTTGTTCTGCCAGAGCTTGCTCAAGGCGCAACATGCCAGTTTGCCCTTTACACCAATCTACGCATGTTTGGCAGCTATTTGCAACACCAAGTTGCCCCAAGTGGGAGAGCTGCTAGTCAAGAGGCTAATCATGCGGTTCCGGAAGGCGTTTAAGCGTAATGACAAGGCCGTTTGTCTTTCATCTACCATGTTTATTGCCCATTTGGTCAACAACCAGGTCGTTCACGAAATGTTAGCGGCGCAGATTCTTTTGTTGTTGTTGCAGAAACCAACAGACGACAGTGTTGAGATTGCGGTTGGGTTGATGAGGGAAGTCGGGTTGTTCCTGGAGGAAATGTCGCCTACTATTGCCCATGCGGTTTTTGATCAGTTCCGAAATATTCTACACGAGGCCGACATCGACAAGAGAACGCAGTACATGATCGAAGTGTTGTTCCAGGTTCGCAAGGACAAGTACAAGGACAACCCGGTCATAAAGGAAGAGCTAGATCTAGTCGAGGAAGAGGACCAGATTACGCACAGGATCGGTCTTGACGATGATATCACCACACAGGACACTTTGAATATTTTCAAGTTTGACCCAGACTGGGAGGCTAATGAGGAGGAGTATAAGAAGTTGAAGGCTGAAATTTTGGGCGAGGGAAGCGGCGATGAGGATGAGGATGATGACGACGAATCCGAGGAGAGCGACTCAGACGGCGAGGAGGAACAACAACAGAAGGCGATTGAAATCAAGGACCAGAGTAATGCGGATTTGGTTAACCTCAGGCGAACCATTTACCTCAGCATTCAGTCGAGTGCCGACCCTGAGGAAGCGGCACACAAGCTCATGAAGCTACGGCTCCCTGCCGGCCAGGAGCCCGAGTTGGTCTCCATGATTGTCGAGTCGTGCGCACAGGAGAAGGTCTACCTCAAGTTCATGGGTCTTCTGGGAGAGCGGTTTGCACGGCTCAACAGGATGTGGATGGAGCTGTTTGAGGAATCCTTCGTCAAGTACTACACGACTATTCATCGTTATGAGACCAACAAACTGCGGAATATTGCCAGATTTTGGGGTCATCAGCTTGCCAACGACGCTATCGGTTGGCACGTCCTTTCGATTATTCATCTGAACGAGGAGGAGACGACAGCAGCAAGCCGTATCTTTATCAAGATTTTGTTTGAGGATTTGCAGGAGAATATGGGTTCTGTCAAGCTCAAGGCCCGACTGGCCGAGGAAACGTTGAAGCCCAGCTTAGAGGGCATCTTCCCCCACGATAACCCGCGCAATATTCGTTTCTCTATCAATTACTTCACATCCATCAAGATGGGCTTCCTTACCGACGAGATGAGAGAGTTCTTGGCCAACATGCCTAAGCCAGCCCTCCCGGCACCAGCTGCAGACTCCGATTCAGAATCTGTATCGAGTTATTCTTCCTACTCTTCATATTCTTCGCGCTCGCGATCTCGGACACCACCTCGGAAGGCCATTGATCGTGGGCGCTCCCTCTCACGTACTCCTCCACTGCGGACCAGAGACGATTCGTATAGCCGCAGCCGTAGTCGTAGCCGCAGCTACTCTCGCTCCGTTTCTAGGAGACGTTCTTATTCCAGATCCCCAGTCCGTCAGGGTCGTGACGATCGGTCTATTTCTAGATCTCCCGTCAGACGACCAGCCCGTGACAGAAGTTACTCTCGGTCACCCTCACGCTCACGATCTCCTACACCAAACCGTGCTCGTGGCCGATCTGACTCTAGGTCTGTCTCGCCTGTTGCTGGCCCATCAACAAAGCGTCGGAGAGATGACTCGTACAGCCGCAGCAGAAGTAGGAGTATCAGACGAACTCGGAGCCCCCCAGCTCCTCAATGGCGTCGGGATGATTCGGTGAGCAGTAAGGGTGGCCGTTCACCGCCTGCTCGGAAGCAGAGGCGGTACTCTCGATCTCCGTCGCCGGTGAGGAAGGATGCTAGACCTCGGAGATCATCGCATTCAAGATCGAGATCCAGGTCGCCTGTGCCTCGAGGTGGTGGTGCCGCTACTGCTGCCACTTCTGGACCTGGTCGGTACAGGCAGCGGGATAGCCCGCCGCCTCGTGGTGGACGTGGAAGGAGCGGATCGTATTCAAGGTCCAGGTCGCCTGTGCGTAGTATTAAGAAGGAGAATGATCGCAGTGTGAGCCGGAGTCGTAGCAGGACTCGGAGCAGAAGCAGGTCACCTTTGAAGACGGGAAGCAGTCCGGTTGGAGGGAATAAGAGGCGGAGGAATTATAG